TTCATTTCGTGTGGCAGACAGTCAAAATCAATTGCTTTAAACCCACCATCAACACAATCCTTTTCAGTCACCATTCTTTAATATAATGCACTTTAACAGAAAGTTCACGCTTGATTTCATTTATTTCCCTTGTATTCTGTGGAGAAACAGATGGAATCGGATGGCTATATCATAATAACATTTTATTTAATCAATTACACAGTAGATCTCTCTGCAACCACAAACTTAATATTTAACTTTACATTATAAATGCTTTAAATTAAACTAATATGGAGATCAAGATACTTGATTTTATTAATGATTGAGAATATCACAACTGCTCTGTAGTCGTATTATAATTTTGATCACTTCACACTTGCTTACATTTAGAGCCAGAAGCTTTAGTAAAAATCTATTATCCTTTGAAACAATCCTTTATCATTTAAATGTGGTTGCTGTGTGTGAATTTCTATTATTTTTAGCTTGTGAACGGGACTCTTATTTTGGTGTAGCAATGTGATGTCATAAGCCTGCGCCACGCTTTTGCATCTGTGATTCTGCTGAAGAAAGGTTTGTTTTTTAATCTTTTAAAGAGTTTAAATCAATACAACCCATTAAGACAGTTTTATAGAGAACTTTGAAATGAATTAAATGTTTTAATGTAATGTTATAATCTATCTAATAACATTAATGAACAGTTTATGAGTAAAGCATGAGTAACAAAAGACGAATCTCATTTCATCATAAACAAGTAATGATAGAGAACAGAACTTTTTAAAAACCAGTTGAGATTCAATTGAATCAAATGCTTGTGAAAATGATTAATTGTTTGTAAGCGCTGGAACCACAGCTCGTTGACGACACCTGAGGCCCGTTGCAGAAAGCTGGTTTTGGTTTTTTAGCCAGGTAAGTTTGCGCTTAGTTTGAGCAGAGTTGGGTTGGTTTACTCACCAGTCAACTGTGAGTAAAGTGACATGAATCTGACGCATCACAGTTAACCCTTTATAGTTTGTAGCGATGGCTTGAACATTTTTGGAAAACCCCATGGAGATCGGAGTGCAGATAATAAGAAGGGCACTTCGTTCGGAAAGAACATTTAGGGACCAGCATAATACCCTAGCTTTTTCAGATGAGCTTAGTATGAAAAGTATATATTTTTGGCAGATGGTCTAGTTTATCAATACCGGCTTCTCAAGCCACACATTAAAATGATGACACACTGAAGCCACGTGCTTAATGTACCGCAAATTTTATGTATTGTTTTGCAGTTTTTTTGCATGCAGTGGGTGATGCTGAAAACATAAGCAAGCGTACTGCCTGCAGAGCAATATGGAAAGTCCGATTAATTTTGGCCAGTTTAGGACAGTTTGGCTCATTTAACTGGTTCAAAAACCCGATTCATTCGTTCACGCAATAATATCTCTACCCTGTTGATACCCTGGTTAGGTATGTTTTGAAGCATGGCAGCGTGGTTTGAGATGGTTTAAGCTGTTCCTGAGTTGGTTACAAGCTGGTCATGAGTAGGAGCTAGTTGCTTAAACCAGTCGAATATTATACATTCTATTTCAAAACAGATTCAATATTTCGGAAATGAACTCTGGAAGGTGAATATGCATTATTTAATTTTTTGAGGAAAAAGGATGGGAGAAGAAATGAGAAGAAAGTAATGGATAAAAGCTGCTATCTATATTTATTGGTTTATATACATTTTGGCTTAAAAACTAAATATGTATTCAGAATTTGACATCAAATCAGCAGGGAATGCACACTGAAGTCCATGTAAACCTGGAATAATTAATGAATGAGTTAACAGTGTTGGGGAAGCTACTCTGAAACTGTAGCTTGATCAGCTACAAGCTACTCGTAAATTAAAGTAGTTAAGTTACAGTCAAGCTACCCTTCTGAAAAAGTAGCTAGCTACATTGAAACTACTTTCTTACACATACTGTAATGCAATCATGATTTCAAAGAGTAGAGTGAATTCAGGTTGATTGGGACACTTTTCCAAGCCATTTCAATGACAAAAAGTGTCCCAATCATTTGATTTTGTAAACTATCTGATACACACAATAAATAGGCTACTGTATAGTTATATAGTTATATTATCTTAAACTGACTGTCAAAGTGCAGAATTGCTACTAACATAACATCAATGCAAGAAGAAAACGTATGCAATTTAAACTGGATACGGAGGAGTCGTAAAATAAGCAGGTTAAACTCACAGCACATGCGGTATTTACTGACTGTGAATGGAGACGTCAATCATCAGCTGCGCTTTGCGTGAATCCCGCCACAACCATCCTTTGCCAAATTATAAGCACACTACTATATCGCGATTTTATTTTCTGTTCGATTAGTGTTCATTACAAAACTGTGGTGGGGACAGATAATGTTCATCATTGTAAAATAGACATTTGATCTAGAGTGCAATAAAGAAGAAAAATGTATCCGTTTAAAAAGGCTATTATTCACCTCCTGTATGGGCTTTAAAGTCCCCATGAAATCAAAATTAAAGTTTTTTGGGTGTTAGTATCAATATGTTAGTCTTAAGGTAATTGCTACTAACATAACATCAATGCAAGAAGAAAACGTATGCAATTTAAACTGGATACGGAGGAGTCGTAAAATAAGCAGGTTAAACTCACAGCACATGCGGTATTTACTGACTGTGAATGGAGACGTCAATCATCAGCTGCGCTTTGCGTGAATCCCGCCACAACCATCCTTTGCCAAATTATAAGCACACTACTATATCGCGATTTTATTTTCTGTTCGATTAGTGTTCATTACAAAACTGTGGGGGGACAGATTATATTATGACCATTCATCATTGTAAAATAGATATCTGATCTAGAGTGCAATAACGAAAAAAAATTAATCTGTTTAAAAAGGCTATTATTCACCTTCTGTATGTGCTTTATGTCTTCGACATAGACCGCATTTTAATCTTTGTTTTGCGTAAATTACAGTCATTACAATCATGTGAAATATCCACACCTGTACATCCTTTGCAATATCATCAGACGATCTCTTGTCGGTGGAAAGACTGTAAAGCCGCGCGATGCGTGAGATCACAACAGATGGCGGTAATGAACCAATTTAGTTTGTGATCTCGTCAGAAGAAGACGCTGGCTCGTGACTCTTCAGAACAGAATGTAGCATTTGGTCTCGCTACATCGCTACTTGCTGGAAAAAGAAGTTAGCTACAGGAAAAGCTACACTGTTTTAAAAGTAGCGTCGCTACTGAAAAATATAGTTACGCTAGTAGCGTCGCTACTTGTAGCTAGCTACTCCCCAACACTGTGAATAAATACATGTTTTAACTTATAGGCGTCACGGAATGGTTGCCAATAAGAGCTCACGAAGACAAATTAACAAAGAGGACAATCTTTTAATCCAAAATACTCAATACTGAGAAACAGGTAGCACTCTCACACGATGTTAGACAGGACACTGACCTCAGGAAACATGGTACTAAATACTAAACCAAATGAGGCTAATTAATGAACAACAGGTGAACTGAATACAAGGATCACACAAGCACTGGGAACCTAGGTCACGCAAGGCACTAAAAACAAAAATCAAACAATAAATAGATGGAACATACATTTTACAATATGCTACAAAGGAATGATTTAATAAATAGTGATCAACAAATTTTTAATTCATGGCCACTATATTTTTCTGTATGTTACATGCAGGACTCTGTGTTTATTGTATGGGATTAGAACAGAGAACGAATATGTGTGACCTGTTGAAATGCATCAGTGAATTGGCCTATTAAATGTAATTTCCAATGTAGTATATTTCAAATACTTTGGATACAGTATATAATTCAGCATAATTCACCTTTTCTATAAGTGTGTGTGTGTGTCTGAAATAATCTAAATACTGTAAGCACATTTAATGCACTGCCTTCGCTGTAATATTTCACTGTAACAGAACATCTCAGGTAACACATGTAACCATGGTTCCCTGAGAATAGGGAACTCCACGCTGGATTCAGTACTTCAGTATCTGCTTGAGTTCTATGGCAGCTCTGTAATTTGTTGATTGTCTGGTCAGTTCTGGGCCAATGAGGGACAGAAGTTCATCCTTCTGCTCTACACTGATGATGCCGTTGGCTGTCCAGCCTCAGTTCAGCCACAAGATGATGAAAATGAACTTGTCTCCTTCGTTGGTTGAGCGGATGCACCCAATACCATCTCTTTCTCCCTCTGCCCCTCTGTAGACTTTTCAGTAGGAGAACAAATGCCAGTGTTCTCCTCCTGCTCACAGGGACTGAATTTGAAATATAGATACAAGATAATTAAGGGTGTTTTTTTTTTGTTTTTTGTTTTTAACACAGCTAAACATATTTTATCCTTATGGTTCATAACTGGACTTCGAAGTATATTAACTGTAATCTACAGCACAACAAAGTAGGGCATTGCAATAAACACAACAATAAACACAATTAAACAAAACATAAAACATTACCATTTAGCCAACTTACCCATGGTAGAACCCCAAAAATCAAGAAAAACCACGTTGGACAGGCAAATCATGTGGTCTCGCAAATTCAGATGCTTCGCTTCTGAACCGCTTCTGGTGTGAGTTGGCGCCATGTGGAGGATGGAACTAAACCTTGTTGGAGCCGTAATGTGTCGCAGACGTGTGAGGTGTTAATGAGGGACTATAAGGGCTTTGATAACTTTCAGCTTGAGAGTATTTTGGACATTTCCTAAAGAAGCAAAGAGTTAAGAATATTGAAGAGGTTCTGAGATTACAGGTTATTTCAGTTGTTTGTTGTGTATAGGATCTAGCATACTTGTTGGAATTGATGTCTGTTGATGTCATGTCTGTTGTTTTTGTCATTAAACTGGTGTTTCTGTTCACCCTAGACCTGATGGCGCTGAAAGAAGAGAGTCAAGAACTGAATAAAATGGAAGAGAAAGATCAGTATGAGAAATGTCATGATTTAATGGTTGGGGTGAAATCTTTTAGTTACTCAAAGACTCATAAAACAGAAACTAGAAACTTTGAAGTCCAGATGAAAGTTCATACTGGAGAGAGCCCTTTCACCTGCCAACACTGTGGGAAGGGTTTCTCACTAAAAGGAAATCTTAACATTCACATGAAAATCCATGCTGGAGAGAAGGCTTTCATATGCTCTCAGTGTGGAAAGAGATTTACACAGAAAAATACCCTTAATTCCCACATGAGAGTTCACACTGGAGAGAAGCCTTACACCTGCAAAATGTGTGGGAAGAGCTTCACACGAAAAGAAAATCTTAAAATTCACATGAGAGTTCACACCGGAGAGAAGCCTTACACCTGCAAACTGTGTGGGAAGAGCTTCTCACTAAACGGACAACTTAAGACTCACATGAAGATTCACACAGGAGAGAAACCGTTCACATGCTCTCAGTGTGGAAAGAGTTTTAAAGAGAAAAGAGGTCTTAATGTCCACATGAGAATTCACACTGGAGAGAAGCCGTTCATCTGCTCTCAGTGTGGAAAGAGTTTTAAACAGAAAAGAGATCTTAATGGCCACATGACAAAGCACACTGGA